TGAGCATTCAAACCCTAAAGATATTCAAACCCTAAAACTATAGTTAACAATGTTGACATTGAATCAAGAAGGGAAAAAAAAAAAAGCAAATTCTAACAAATTCCTCAAAATGTTCCGTGACCATTTCAAAGAGTCCCCTAACTACGTTTTTGGTCAGGGGAACGTGTGTTCAAGGAGGTCTATGAGCACCAAATCAAATACCCAAGGGAGTCTTGTCATTGGATGCAACTCGAGGGAATTAGGGCCCTAGTATTATATATTGTAGTATATATATGCCTTGTGCAAGGCAACTAATTTTCTTGTCCATCCTTGTGTATTTCTTGTACCTCTTCCCTCTTTCTTGTGTAGTTTAAGATTACACATTTACAAATGTATGACAGTATTAGTTTGTTTTGATCCTTCATTTATTCTTGTGTATTTCTTGTATCTCCTCCCTCTTTGTTGTGTAGTTTAAGATTATACATTTGCACATGTATTATTTTGTTTTGATCCTTCATTTATTCAAGGTGATACAAACTTGTGGAAGACCATGCAGGCTTGTCTGGCAAGCTTTTTTTATTCAATGTACAAAATGGCATCAAAACATTATGTATTTGGGAAGATTTTGCACCCACTTTATGCACTATGTTTTCTCCCTTCCATTGGGCGTAACAAAAACTATTTTTTCTTTAGTATTAGCTCCACAATCCTCACTCGTGTCATCATCATCCAAGCCTTATCTCAATTATTTGGGGTAAGCTAATAGTCATTCATGTGGGTTTCACTAAATTTGGGTGTGTCATTTTAGAGAATTGATTGTGCTTATATGAAATGTAATTACATAGTTACTTACAAGACGGCAGATGAAGTGGAAGTTGCCAATGTCAATGTCTCTGATTCTGAATTGTTAAAATATCTCCTGGAATACTTGATAGAGAAGAACACGTTGTGGTGCAAGTAGAATGGATGGAGAGGAAGCCTAAAGATGAGTAATATGACCCCTATGCCGTTCATGAGTGAGATGCTGCACTCAAAGACATGTATTTACATTCTTTCTAACCCTAATTAATTGAGGGTTAGATAAAGAGTACAAATAAATCTAGAAATTACATATTTGTCGTTTATAATAAACATGAACTATAAGATACAAGAACAAGTTACAACACTATACAAAATTACCAATATACCCCTGACTAAAGTTGACTAACACTCCCCCTCAAGTTGCATGTGCTTTAACTACAACTTGTACTTCAAATATTGATTTGATTACCATTTTGTAAATATGTCTGCTATTTGATCTTTTGTGCCCACGAATCTAACTTCAATTTCTTTGGCTTCAATCCATTCCTGAATGAAATGATAAATAATTTGATTATGGCTAGATCTATCATGGAATGCTGGATTTGTTGCCAAGGCTAAGGCATTCTTGTTGTTGCAAAACATTGTGGATTTTTTAATTTTCATACCGAATGTGCGCATCATACATCGGGTTCAAAACATCTTCGATAAAATACTTCCTAATGCCCGAAATTCAGCTTCAGCACATGACTTGGCTACTGTCTTCAGTTTCTTATTTCTTAGTGATATCAAGTTTTTTCCAAGGTAAGCACGAAATCCATGGACTGAACTTCTTGAATTTGGGTCTCCAGCACAATCAGCATTTGAATATCCCATTCTTGATTCAATTTGGAGATTCTTCACACCGTTTTTATGATAGACTATTCCATGGCTCACTATTCCTTTAATGTATCTGATTATTCTCTTTAAGGCTTCTATATGAGATAAAGTGGGCATATGCATAAATTGACATACATGATTTACTGCTTATGATATATCTGGCTGTGTTAGTGTGAGATACTGTAAAGCCCCTGTAATACTCTTGTACTTCTCTTGTTCTCATACTTCTCCTGTTCTCTTAACAATTGCCCTTCATCCCGCTCAATCTGTTATTCATGGCAACATTCTTGAAGGCTTACATTTCTTCATATAAATTTTTCATAACAAATCTAAAACATACTTTTGTTGAGATAGCGTAATTTCATCGGAGTCTCGATCTACCTCTGTCCCAAGGTAATACCTTGATTCTCAAAAATCTTTTCATTTGGAATTTAGCATTAAGAAAACTCTTTTTTAAAAAAAAAACTCTTAACATCAGCAATCAACACATATGAAGAACACTACTTGTAATTATAATATCATCAACATACAAAAGCACAAAAGTACAAAAGCACATATAGTATCGTCAACATACAGAAGCACAACTATGATACCTGTGTCACTTCAATTTACCTACATACTCACTTGAATTTGCTTCACTAAATCCTAGTGATTGCTCCGTGTAAACCTCCTCTCTTAACTCCCTATGAAGACACACATTTTTTACATCCAGCTGATAAAGTGGGCAATCATAGGCCAATCTAATGATAAAATAATGCATACTATCACAATCTTAACAACTGGATTGAAGATTTTTTCATAATCGAGTCGCTGTTGTTGATTAAAGCTTTTAGCTACCAACCTTGTCTTGAATCTCTGTATACTTCCATCTCATTTGTATTTCACCTTATAGAGCCATTTGCAGCCTACCACAATTTTATCTTCTGGTCTTTGAACAATAACCCATGTATTGTTGACTTACATGGCCTTGATTACTCTTGCATAGCTTCAATCCACCTCTCATCTTTTGTTGCCGCTTAAGTATGTTAATGGCTCTCTGATTTTAAAGATCTCAATCGAGAGTACTTGATATTCATGAGTGAAACCTCCATAGCTTACCTATCTTTCAATACGATGTTTAATGCAAGTCGACCTCCTCAATAAAGTGGCCTCAACATCTGCATCAACTACAATGCTTAACATGGTTCGATTCAGATGCTTTATGGGCTGTTTTTTATATTCATTTGCTGGTCTTTCTGACGTGGTCGCTTGCTGCCCCATCTTACCTCTTCTTTTGTACACAATAACTTCACATGGATCATTTTGTACTGAGCCCCTACTTTGGCCTGTTTGCTGGTCATTTTTGAAGAACAACATAAAGTCTTCTCCTGGATTACAAGGAACAATGTCTTCATCATCTCCACCTTTTTTAACATTGTCTTCAACAAAATTCTTCATCTGATGTGGTCATATGAGGAGTGGTTTACTGTCATTCTTGAATTTGTTTCTTGCCTTTAGACACAGATTTTCTTCTGCAATATCATTCTTTGGAGGAGTAATCATTTTCAAATCTAATGTTACATGTCTAGAAATAAAAATTCTTTTCTTTAGGGGTAGGAACATATATGGCCTTTATGATCATCTAAGTATCCCACAAAACTTCATGTTCCTGCCTTAGGATCAAGTTTATTTCAAAGGCTACTGTCAATATCGGCAACACCACCATCCATAACTGCTCACGATAAAATAGTCAGAAGCTCTTCCATGTAGTGTTAAGGCATGGAGATTTCCATACAATACATCAATTGGAAGTCTATTTATCAAGAAGGTAGCTGAATGGAAAGCTCAGGTCCATAAATACCTTGAAATTCCACTAGAAAATATAAGAGACAATCCAACTCATTTGAATATTTTCTGCCACTCCATTTGCTGTGGAGTATAAGGGCCGGATATCTGTTTCTGGATTCCATTGTCTATTAGATATTTTTAAGACATTTGAGATGTGAACAACCATGAATTACAAATTTTGTTTATGGAAGTGCTTTTCAACAATTCCTCCATCACTATGAAAGTACAAAATTTGCTTATGGAAGTGCTTTTCAACAAACAACTTGAAGCATCTATATATATCAAACACATGAGATTTTATTAAGAAACCAAATCCATGTATATCCAGAGAAGTCATCAACAATATCACATAATAGAGGAAATGGGAATGAGAAGCAGTTGGCATTGGGCCCACCCATCAGGTCGGATTGGATCCAGGTCTAGAAATAAATAAATAAATTTGTATTATAAAATATACAGTTAGTATTATTTCGCTTGTATAGTTATATATTTGATACTTATATATACCGGGTCAACAATGGACAGTCTTGGCCTTATTGGAAATACCGGTGCAGGTGGAGGCCCTACTCTAATATTCGATGTCAGGGACATTTGGAGTTTGATCTACCAACCCAATAGGCTACAGCCAGACCCAGACCCAACCCCCGCAGTCCAACACCTGGACCCGGACCTCTATGCAAATACAAGCATGTCTTAGTGCCTCTAGGCGCATAAAACACCAAAAGTGCATAGGACCACCTTGCACTTCTGACTACTAGCACATAACTATTACACACACAACCTAGAACCGACCATTATGGAGATGTTTTCAATGTGAAAGTAAAAAATCGGCGAGACACAAGTGATAGATATACCATAAAGTATAAATACAACAAAGGTGCTACTCCTATGGTGAAAAGGGGTCACCATCTTTCGGACACAATGCTATAATGAGATCCTAAATGCAACTCATCACCAACTCCCAATGTGGTTCTTAATCTTTTTTATTTGTTTTTTTGGGAGTTAGCTCCCAAGATGAAGGTTTGCTTTCCAAATCAAAATCTCGGTGTTGATAAGGTGATTGCAATTAAGTAAGAAAATGAAGCCATTGTTCAACATTTAGCAATCAGAACTATCCAATTTTACCAGGGTCGAATAGGAAATAACATTGCGCCATACATGTCAATCACTGGCTCCCAAAACCCTCACGTGTAGTTTTTTCTATTGGAGAAGCAGCTATCATAACATTGTGTTTGACGCTAATGTAATAAAGGCATTGTAGCATGTAGCTAGGGACAACTGAAGCTATAAATGTGATGTACGAGAAGTAATTGGTTAAATAAAATATGAATCCAGTCGTATAGACAGTAATAGCAAGGACACCCTTCCTATATCCTAGAACAAAGCATGTCACATCATGATGCAGAAATTAATTCAAACAAAAACAAATAGTAAGGAATACTACTAGGCTCCACGACTTCAATACAATTACATTCCATAAAATAGTCAAGTCTGAAAACAGAAAACTACGGTCTTACCTGTCGATTCACAAGCACAATGTCTCCATCTTGTATGTGCCGATAGACAACCTTGCCTTCAAAGTTTGAGTTGAAACCCTTTCCAGAAACATCAGTAGAAACGGCTCCAGGAGTTGAAAGCAACTTTTTAGCAATAGAATTACGCCGATTTTCATTTTTATATTTTGAGTCGTTCAGATTATCAGCCAAATTAGTATTTCCCTGTTCATCATGATAAAGTGTGGCACCAGGATGAATTTCAGGCCCATTGAGCACAGCCTGCCTCAGCCTCTCAGCATTCCAGGGAGTCACTTTCTGCACAGATAGGGGTAAGGCATCAAAATAACATGTAACTGAATACAACAAATCAAAGTTTTTACACATTCTAGCTATAAATACCATTAGCACGTATTCATCCATGCCATGAAAAACAAATAATAAACATGAGCACCAAATAACATGATAAAAAAGACACAAAAAGCACACCAACTCCAAGACAACAGCCAATAAAACTGTCCCATTTATAGTAAGTTGTATCACCTATCCCATAAGGAATTATACTGACCTCAGGATATGTCAATTTCTTTGCAAAATAAGGAGGGATGCCAATCTCATTCACTGCCAAAAACGGATCTGGAGAAATGACAGATCGGCAAGCAAAATTAACCCTTTTGCCCATCATATTTTGTCGGAAGAGCCCCTCTTTCTTTTCCAATAACTGACGTATTCCAGACTCCAACTCACCTTTTTTACCTATACAAGAATAGAAAAGAAATAACCACAAAATGAATGCCTATGATGAATAAACTGGTGTCAATAAAAGAAAGATGCAGTTGGCATACGGATGCATCCGTAGCTGTAGAGCTAAGGTGCACCTTCAAATTTTATCATGGTATATAATTTTGATGTAAAATGTTCTTAGGATTATCTCAAAATCTATTTTTATATCTAATTATAAAATTTTAAATTTCAAAATTGGTTAAAATCAAGTAGATCTATAAACACATGAAAATCTTGAAAACGGACGGTGTAGATAATATGTTGTAAAATGCACTATTTCTGAGACTTAAAATCTTTTTATTTTTCATGGTCATACATCTCGATGTCGAGATGATCAATCAAAGGGTTTTTCAACATTAAAATTACCTTTTCCGATGGATTTTTGAGGTGCATCCGTAGTTCTACATTATAAGGTTGCATCCTTATATAAACTTTTTCCATAAAAGAATACTATCGAATAATCCACCTAAAAGCAATGCACCACCTACAAGACAATCTTGTAAAGCATTTCTCATGGGAAAGGAAAGTCATTTCACAAAGTAAGCAGCCAGTTCACCAAGTTAAGATGCCATTGACAAGAATGCATGAAGATACACGTACCTTAGTTAGTAGCCAGACTTCCTAAAAAAAAAATTGACAACTGTAGGAAGATGTGGCTTTCAAAAGCATTTTGATTTGAGCAATTTATCTGCCGTGTACTCCTAGGGCCGTCTTCCAATATAAAAAGTGCATTCTCATTCATGTTATCACTTCTATGCATTTGTCCTTGAAATGTATAACATCCACATCATCTGGACGCTTGGAGCACCCTTTCAACGGTCTAAGATTAAATCTAGGTCAATGTGAGGGTTATAAATTTATATAGTTTTCTATATTTTAGTTTTATTTATAGATTCAATTCACATGAAATTAGAAAGTAGTGGCAATGTAGAATTCCAGGCTATAAAATCAAAAAAAATCTCTTTCTTTCTATTGATTACTAGAAATTCTACCTACAGGTGGCACAAGTATAATAAATTCAGCTTACTACAATCTAGGATCTTTATAATCTTAATGCCAAAAATGAACTTTATTCAACTGAATACAATACCGAGACTTTAGGAAGCAAAATAAGACACTAAACCTAAATTAAATAAGGGAAAACTTACTGACTTTTGCCCAGGGTTACCCCTTCTAGGGCTTAGCACACCCCACACCCCATCACCTGACCAATGGCGCACTTAAAATTCTGGATCCTGCTGAACAATCAAATCTAAACTAGGAAGCACCCCTAGGACACCCTTGCTGAATTTTCTTAGACATAAAGAGCAAAAATAGGGTTTTTCACTAAGAAGACCCCCTTAGAAACTGCAGCATGCCACAAAAGCAACTCCCCTAACCTAGGGCTGGGCATGCCCCTCTTTTACTCTCTTCTAAAATTTGGGCATGCCACCCCAGACACTTATGGGGGGTGGCATGCCTCCAAGGAAGTGAGAGAAATGAGAGAGAGAGAGAGAGAGAGATCAGAGGTGTAGAACAAAGGGGAGAACCCCCCTATTTATAGACCCCTAGGGCCAAAAGTGTCCTAGTCAAATTAGAAGTTCAACTTATCTAAAATTATTCACGTGATCTGTGAGGTGAGAGAGAAATTTAATCTGAGTCATCCGTCTTCAAGATCAGCCATCATGATCTATAGTAAATCTTTAGGGACCTTATCCCCTGAGATTTGAACCATATCCAGTTGTAAACCATTGAAAACTTTGACCAAACAAAACTTATCCTTCAAAACATAGTTGTTGGAGACGATTCTGAATCCATATCGTTTTAGGAATCAGTATTGCTGAACCGCAACAAGCTAGAAGATTCCTATTTCGGAATCAAAGTATGTCCAAGAAGACCCAAATCAAAGTCTATGAGTTACAGATTCCAAAGAAAAAGCACAAGGTGGCTGCCGGCCCCTTGTCAGAAGTGAGGAGTTGTTGGCTAACAAATTCTTCCTCATGCATTGGCCCTAGTACATAGGAACAGGTAGTGAGCCGCTAAAGGGGTAACTGCAAAGGTGTTGAGCCTAATTCAAACCCACCCGTAGTCACTATGTTGGGGGATGAGACGGGAACAACGAGCCCATGCGTCAATTATCCTATGTAGCTTGGTCACCGAGTTCAGCCATTTGGGAGAGTTTGTATTCCGACCAAAGAATCCGTCGTGGCTTATGGAGGTATCACGGTAAACAACATTTCTATTTTATAAGAATCGAGATTCGACCAAAGTGCAACTGACATTCCTATTCTATGAAATCGCGTTTTCCTACCTATTTCGAGATCCCTTCATTTATGAAATCGAGATTCCAACATCTTTGAAATTGAGATTCCAAGGCATTTCGAATCAAGATTCACCATTTTCGAATTGAGATTTAACCCAAATTGGAATCAAGAATCATAGCAAATTAAATTTGAGTTTCTCCATCTAACAATTGAGATCTACAACCCCTTTATAATCAAGCATCAAGCAAACACATGGATCGACAGTAACATATTCAAATGTTAGTGGAAGATTACATATTGCACATAATTAATTAAAAATAACACTCATGGCCAGAGATTATAGAGATTTTGACAATAATGATAGCGGAAGATTACACACTGTACGTAATTAAAAATATATATATACAATGCCTTTCATCCACAACTTTCATTACACACTAACGGGAATATTGCATAGAGAGAAAGAGGAGGGGGAGGGTTCTTCCTTTTTCCACCCCTTTGGGCTGCAGCAAGGTGCTTATTTGTGACATCAGAAGATGGAGACACTCTGGGGTTGGGTCTAGGTAAAGCATGGCTTGGGTCACGTGCACAAGAGGGAGACACTCTACGGGTAAGTCTAGGTGAAGGCTTGCTTGGTTCACGCTCTGTGGCGGTTTCAATTGTTAGATCATCGATGTGTACTTGGTACCTCTTGAAGTACCCAGGGGAGTGACAAATGCTAAAGGTGGTAGGATGGTGAGCATACATTTGTCATCTTCATCATTGAATTTGCGGGATTCAGTTTTTCCGTCAAAATTGTTGAGTGTATCTCTCTTTAAGCTCATCTACTCGTCTCTCCTTTATCTCTTGGTAGGTACCCTCTCTTCCAAGCTATCCCAAAAACAAAAAGTTGCAGAACCCTACTCGTTTGATCCTTCTCTTTATCAAGAAAAGAAGAAAACAACACAGAGAAAAAAACAACTTCAATAGCGCCATAGATGTCTTCTGCTTTAGATTGCCCTTGGTACCCGGCCACGAAGACCACAACTTGGCTCTGCAACTCAACCATCTATAACTAGGTTGCTTTTTCACTCTAGCTCTCTCCATATCGTTGCTCACTTCGTTGCTCACTCACAATTGCCTCCATGAATCTACGTACAAATTTGAGAGGAAAACATATGGGGCTAAACTCTCGGATTTGAGCTTTAACAGTTCATGTGCAGCTGATTGCGCTAATTTGATATGATCATGAATTCTACAAGCACTGAGCAAAGCTCCCCAAACCTCTCTATCCGACTCAATTGGTATGGTCTGCATAATGGGCATGGCTCCCTGTAATTTTCCGTGCTCTTTGATCATGTAATCAAAGAATTCATAGGCTTCATCCACTAACTCCCCATAGTTAAAAGCTGAGAGAACAGAGATAAAGGTTATATGCGATGGTAAAACCTTTGATTCTTTCATCATTTCAAATAGCAGGATGGGCATGATGGGCATAACCCCACATCAAAGCATTCCAAGAGACCATGCCATCACATTGACCACCTTTGTAGCATCCCCCATGTCTCCATAAAACCTAACCTTTTCGTCTAGGGAGAGAAGAAAGAAATCCCTTGACCTGTAAGAATCCTTGAACCATGGGGATTCAAGATATCAGTTTTTAATGATGGGATGCTTGCTTTTTATGTTTCTCTGCTTCGATATTCAACAGCTGTTCTCTTTCTCTTGAAATCGATGAGTTAGTCTTTCTCTCTCTAAAAATCAATAAATAAAACAGTGCAGATCCTTCTAGAAGTATTATTATTATTGTTTTACAAATTTATTTACTTTTCGTTCAAACTTAATAAGTTGTACTATTTTATTTTACTTTTGCTTTATTTTTTGTATTTTTGTATTATTTTTTTCATGTGTTTCTTCTTGCATTTCTTGCCATGTGATTCATCGCCCTAGAAAAAATCATACATTTTTATCAATGTTCTAAAAGGCAGACCGCTCAGCGCCTAGGAGGTCTAGAGGGCCTGGGCAAGGCACCCAGTCCTAGGCGGCCTACCCCTGGGCCAGGTGTTTAATAAAAATTTAAAATGCTGGGAAATATGAAAGATGTGAAATACAAATTTCCAAATGACCTTGAGTGAGATAAAGCAATTGAGTGAGGTATCATGTACATAGAGTGATAGAAGATACTTGTTGTGAGGTTAATTATAAATGTAATATCGCACCAGAACTAGCATCTCACCTACTGCAACTTTTCATACAGATTAAAACAATAGTGGAAGGAATTGTATGTCCCTTTAGCCTTGGTAGCGTGTGTGAAAGCTACACTTCAAAACCCAAAATTACTACAAGTACTATCCATGGGATTATAGCCTTAAAATTTCAAGTGTGGTGTTCACAAAGTTTTGGGGAGAGGAGAAAACCATTACCCTTTTTCTTCGTTCATGAACAACAACTTTCCTTTTTTTTATAATGTTAACCTTCATGAACAACAACTTATTTTGAAGAAAATTACTCGACAATAAGAATTTGCTTCACATGAGAATCCTAACAGTGACCCACTTTAAGAGATTTATACTAGAAAATTGCAAAGCACATGCATACGCAAGTTTGTGCTAGCCTACATCTAAATGCAAATCTGCGAGCACCCTTATTCCAAGTCCATATCACAAATTAATGTATAAGGGCCCATTCAAACACATGAAATTTTAGGAATAGCACCGTTTTTTCATCCAACTGCCTAAGAGTGAAAAACAACCAAGCTAGGACTGCTACTACTCATGGGAAAACCATTTTTTCATAACCTAGCTTATCTACCGAACACCACCAAAATGCCCATGAGACAAAATATATTTCCCCTATTCTCAAATAAATAAATAGATTTTTAAGCATTGCCCACAAAGTTAAGTAGGGCTTTTCCTTTGATATGACTCTTAATGCACCAAAAGGGTCCTCAGATTAAGCCACTCAGAGATTGAAACAACTAATACACACTAAGCCAGGATTCAGCCAAATTTCAAGTAGTTTGATTTCTAATTCAGGCCATAAATCCCATGTTACGTACTCCACTAAGATTCAACCAAATTTCAATAGTTGAGTTTTTCGACTCATTGGGCCCTAATCCAATGTTCCTGGCACAACTTATGAAGATGGCATCTGTGTCACAGTTCACCAAGCAGCTTATATTTGATTCATGTAGGAGGGTATATGGCAAACCCATCATAGAACTGTTTCAAGGATCGGAAGAGAGACATTTCTAACTAATATGGCCTGATGCAGAATGGTAGGATTTCAAGGATCAGAAGAGCAACATTTCTGACTAATATGGCCCGATGCAGAATGGTAGGATTACCACATTGACAGCAATGATGGTACCATAGCAGGTCAGCAAAATCTATAACAACAATTGCAGGCTCCTTAGCAGAAACCTAGTGGTGCCATTAACGTGATCTAAATTTTCGGGTGGCGGCTGGAACTCCAGGGTGAGTGGTCACTGAACCATGTATCATGAACATTTAGAAATGGTTTTACATTAGTATGGGAAGGGCCATAAATTAGATACCTGCTGATCAAGGAGAGCCCTGAATTCAGATGTTGTCCATGAAAATAGGTGTTTCTGCACGGACAAGTCTACACCCCCAATTGTTGTGAAAATATCCACACTTCCTATCTATGTATAATTGCTCTCATCAAACAAAAACTCAATGAATGGTTACCATGTTAGAAAATCCCAGCAATGACCATAAGAACGTTGGCAGACCAGCTTGAAATTCAAGAAAGCAATATGATTTTTTTTTCGTTTCCTGAAACCAGCAATATGAAATAAATTAATAACATACTCACCACTAGCCTTGTCGCTATCAAATAACAAATCCACATTCGTTTGGAGATCTCTCCAACTATCATTTATCTTTGAATCTACCACATCTCCGGCCTTTATAGCATCCCCTAGGGAGAGATTGGCTTCAAGAACTCTCCTTAGCAAAGTAGTTTGTGTGTGTTCCAATTCCTACAAGGAATAATGAAAAGGCTGTAAAACATAAGTTCATTATCTTCACTTCCAATTAAAAAAATAAACTCATTATGTTAAATAGTGTACTATTCTGGGAGTAGGTAAAATTGGTTTGCATAAGAAATAAACTCGAAACCCACAGCCTTCCTCATTAAGACCAAATGGCACATGCTAACCAAAGGCCAGAGAAAAAATAAGAACATGTGCACAAATATAAAATGAGACAACAATGAGAGTTCCTGTCAAAACAGGAAGAAAAATCATAGGCACAATAAATTTCTAATAATGCGACAAGCCTTTGGGAAAATGATGGTCTATGTCACTCTACCTAGAATTTTCTACAAATATCAAAGACATTCATATTAACTATCCCAATTTGAAGGAAAATGGCGACCAAATTATAACAATATAAACTGATAATTCACTCAAATAACCAAGTCACTAATCCAATAACAACACATCATGGACTATGAGTCACAATAAGCTTTCCACTAACATAAATGTAAACTATAAAGATACAATATCCCCATGCAACTGGTGTACAAAGCTTCCTTTTGCTTTTTCCTTGTAGTATGCGCGCACACACACGCACGCACGTGCACACAGCCACACACAAATAAAACAAAACAAAAAAAGTTACGCTGATGACAATGATGATGATGAAAAAAGTTCGCACTGATTTTTGATATTCAACTGTGCTCTCTTCAGCCAAATCAGCCTCGAAATTGGAAGTTGTTTGACACAGAGGAATGTTCTTAACTGTCAGTTTGGGTGTGTGTATGTAGACTTAGGTTAGCAGGGTCTGCATCTCTTTCTTTGGGTTCAACGAAAATTTGGGAGATGTATTTAGTGTCTTAAGGATTCTGCTTCGACGGAATAAATAGGAGGAATTCACCTCCTTACCAGGAACTTGGCGAGATAGGAGCTCTGGTCTTCCATGATGTAGAAGCCCATGCTGCAATCCCCTTTTAGCCGCAAGTTGGAGGGATGAAATGTCCAAATAGTGTGAACTTTAATAAGTTTATCCCTTTTTTGATGATTGCTTCGCAGAGTCTTAAAGATAGGAAAGCCTTGGATATACTATGTACACAGTCAAGCGGTGGAGTATAATGGGTATTGGTGAGGGCTTTGTGTAGTGGAGACCTTTTCTCTATTTTTGGCTCTGTTTTCAGGGCAGGCAGTATTTTCTTTTCCATTATAGGTTGGCGGTGAGGATGAGGGTACGTTTAGATTTTTCCTGGCTATAACCTTATGTGGGCAGTTACGATGTCATTATCCTGGTTGGCGGTGATAGGTTGTTCGTAGGGTTTGTTTGATGACACAACATTGATGGCCAGTAGTTCTTGACCAATAATATTCTGTGTGATGGGATTTGTGTGCATGGTAAAACTTTTCTAGCTAAAGGCATTTCAACTTGCAGGAGAGAGATTTGGCCTTTGGTGTGATAGCCTTAATTCACTGTCTGAAGAAAACTCAGCAAGTTTTTCCCCTTTTCTTTTTTTTTTTTGGGACATTGAGTAAGAAACTGTTGCATCAGGTTGCTTCATGTTAAGCAATAAACTAGGACATAAACAGGGTCTTATAAAGAGATCTAGCTGGCTGTTGCCATCACGCACAACTGAATCTGCTAAGTCATTAGCCATTCATGGAACATGCAGGAAGGTAACTCGTGTACCACAGAAAAAATGATAAATCTCCTTTAAGACAGTCATAAGCCTCCAAGGGTCGGGCCTCCCTCTAGCCCGAAGAATACCATTTAAGGGATTTCCTTCCACATCAACATGCTAATTTCCTTCCACACAAATGACTCATGAATGATCATAAAATGCATTCCAGTGAGAAGGGCCATGGGCCTCCAATCTATTCGTATTTTCTCCCCCCGTTGGGCTTCTATAGGGAAATCAGTATTTGTAAAGTAGTCCCTGATATTACTCTTACACCAGATAGACCAGTGCTCACAAGAGAGCTCCAGCAAAGTTGAGTTTTAGAACCCCCATAAAAGGTGATCTTGTTCATCAATATCTGTGCTGCATCAGGTAAAGACCATCAAGCACGTGTAGGTTAGTCCTACACCAAACTACAAGCCACCTCATTTCAATTTCTCACCAAATCTATCACATGAAATCCCTGAAAACCTTTCTAATGAGTGTCCAACAAGTAACCATATCTCTTATTTGACTCCCTACTTGCTCAGGAATGGAATACGTCCCCTCATAGATTCGCGTATTGCTTTTTAGCCATATGCCCCACAAAAAGACAATACAGCTCAACATTCACAAAATACCAACCTTTTGTGGGAAAGATCAGAATTCCAGCTAGTGAACGCCTCCACAAATGAACTTGGAGAAACCCAATCCGTTTCAGAGAAGTGCCAAAAGTAGGCCCAAACCTTCCTTGCAATGAGGCAGCCTATGAACAAGTAGTCAATTGTTTCTTCTGCATCATGGCGCATGAACATACATTAGGAAATTGCAATCCCGACATTGGAGGTGATCCCCTAATACCACCAACCACCAAATGGATAAGACTCCAGGAGTAGGGATATCCAAACTCAGAGAATGGGACCAATCTCCGAAAAAGATTGAATCCTGGAGCATAATCTCACCTAAAATCACCTACAGAATCATATCACTACACAAGTATATCAAGGCCTAATCGAGGAATATATGTCAATTTCAAACATCCCAAAAGAACAAAGCTCATTCATTGCAAAATAGAGATGATGGTAAACCCTAATGAATATCAGCCAACAGCTAATCCCCTTACTGAACTTTTAGAACTCGATAACATCCCTTATGGTGCACCGACATTTCTATTTCTTCTAACCAGTCTTCCCAAAACAAATGCATAAGCTCAGCTCAGAAATATGTTATTAATTGTTATATATTTGCCAATTACTTTTTGCGTTTATTAAGAATCTTACGGTTATACTAGCATTAAATCTTGAGACAACAGATAATACTAGCATTAAATACAAGGTGTTGAGGACAACAGATACAACTCCTACACCTCCAGAAACACCTTGATATCATTCCAGGCCAAAATACAAGGTGTTGAGGACATGATCAGAAAAGCAAAAACAAATGTGAAGACGTGTATTACAAAACAACGCAGAACAATCCAAAGGCTGAATCCACGGCATAGAGAATAGAAACTACTCAAGAACACCAGAATGCCACTTCAGGCAAAAAAAAGTAATGCCACACATATTATATTTGCTTGTACATTAGGCCTTATCGATAGAGCACAAATTCCAAACAACCCAAATTTTCAAGAATTACTAAATTTTTCAGGTCCACTTCAGGTATGGAAAATCATAAACGTTTTTCAGATAAGACAAAATGGAATGCCAGTTACTAGATTCTTTCATCTCAATTCAACGGATGAACTGAGATGGGACTTTACATAACACATCAAACACATGCAGTAAATAAACAGCCAGTGTCACCATCAATCAGTATCCAAGTCCTTAATACACCATATTGTAGAGCTAAAAGACCATTGCCACAGTATGCATCTGGCCGGTAGTGCAGAAAAATCAAAATCACCATAACAACAGAAATAAACTCTTCTTTCTTTTTTCTTTCAATGAGGATAAACAAACTGATTTCTCTTACTAAAGAAAACAAAGAGGAAAACGAGAGTGAGAGAGAGAGAGACTCTGCCCAACTGATTGCTAGATTGTTGTAAAGAATGTTACTACTGCAAAATATTAAGACATGATCAGAATATTGAATAACTTTCAAGAGAAAATGACTACAACCATACAAACTGGTAAATACACCTCATGTGCATAACAAGTGAGTAGAAAAATTGACTTACTGAATCATTCTTTGTGTTAGGAGGGCGAAACCTGCAAGGTGGCACCAGTAGAACTTTGATAAAAAACATTAAATAAGTAGGACTCTGCCTACATGCCAGCAATTTTTTCTGTTGGATGTCCCACATAAGAGAGCAGATACGGGGTTCATTTTCCCACAGAAGCTTCAAACAATGTTGTACCTACAGGAAGTACATAATATTATTCACGCATATCATAATGTTATTCAAGTACAATAATGAATGATTACAACAGGAATTAATCAGAAAATGAGTAAAGAGTGGGGAACAATTGAAATAGAGAACCCAAAGTCTAGATACCTGGTAGACAATTTGTGAATAGCTAACTACAAAGAAGTTACTCAGTGCAACAGTGGCAAGTTAGCAGTTTTCAAAGCTTTCAACTTCCAAGTACATCATCCAGTTTAAAAGGAGCATTTCCACCTCAGTAAAACAGGAGGCATATTTTTGGGACACTTTTTTCATTTTCGTCAATTGCACTATTTTGGTTCGCTTTCGAGACTCGACAGCACAACAGGTTGTTCTCTAAGCTGGTATGAGCCCTCTTAACACCCCTGGCCCCACCCCAGAAACAGCACTTTTTTAAAACTTAACTTGTAATAGCCTCTTGGAGATACCAAAAGCATCATAAGATCCTAATAAGATACACAGTACAAAACTGGACAAAAAATACCATGCTCAACTAGGAAACTATTTAAACAATCCTGGCTAACAGAGATAACAAAGGAAACTTTGCCAGTGCATAATAGCCAATTAAGAAACACACTGAAAAGATACAACCAGTTAAAATACAATATGAAACTAAACAATCAGCCAACCTGGAGACAGAAAAGTTGGATGACACGGCTTACAGGTAGGGCTGCAGAGAGAGGCAGCAATTCTTCCAGGTGCACAATCAAATGGAGAAATATAGTGGTAGCAATTGAAGTCAAAAAGTCATTATAGCAGAAGAAAATTTCTGAACACCTGTTTGATTGAAATCTTTTTCACTGGAGTCCCTAGCATATCCAGTACCAAACAATCACTAAAAACGTGTAGACTACCGTATGCTAATACGAGTGAAGCATCTTCATGGGGGGAGATACAAGGTATTTTGTCCGCCTCAACAATAATTCAGAAAAGCAAGAAGGTACTTATATGTGGAGCCTATAAGATAGGAGATCTGGGTCTTATCTTTGGAGAAATAGGATGCATACAAGCAATCCTAAGGGTGATTGGTGGAGACGTGAATTCCAAAGCTGCATCTTCCACCAAATGTAGTATTTCCCTTATTTGAAAATGTGAAGTGCTACATATTTCCTCCTACGGCTTCTGAAATTGCATTACTTCCAAGATGTGGCAGCTTCCATGGCCCCACATAAAAGCTGCCACCACGGACGTTGGTGGAAGATGCAGCTTGGAGAGTCGCATCTTCCACCAATCAAAAACACCCAAAGAGAAGGACTAGAATCCATTATTTCTTCTTTTTTTCTTTTTCCTTTTTTTCCTTTTGGATAATAGTGGAAATATGGAACCCAAGTACGTCCCCTCAAGTGCTGAGCAATAGAAAACTTAGATTGAAAATATCTGTGGAGAAGTGATTGCAGTAAATCAGGTCATCTGTGGAGAAGTGATTGCAGTAAATCAGGTCACAATGGTAGGAGAAACTTGTAAAGTATGAAACCATCTAGATAATTGGATAACATGCCCCAAGAAACTTTGTGCAGGTCGAATGAAGCTTTATCCCCATATCCATTATGAAGGAAACTGAAAAGGATATGTTATCCGTACTACAAATGTTTTTGACAGTTGCAGCAGGCAATAAGGAGGAGCCTTCAATCACCCTGGAAAACGTATCATGCTTGTAAAGAACCACTAGTCCGACTAAGACAGCACCTCAAACAACCAATCAAAAGAACTGACAAGAGGAAAATAATTGACAGTGGTACCGGCATCTGGCTCGAAGTGAGAGGATCATCAGATGTATGGCCTGTAGACATGCAAGAGAAAAGATTGGCTGTACAAGATCAAAATTATTGAGGCCTGCTGTTGGGAGTACCAACAAATCCTACAAAGAGGAATTTTTACATGGATGAGATGGGAGGGATCCATGATGTGACAGAAAAAGGGCCAATTCTTATCAAAAGCGATAGACATCAAGGGGCTGCAGGGATTGTGCAACCCATCATGGCAGTTAGGGTTGATATTTGATGTTCAAGACTACATTTCACTATGATTTTGTCCCTTCAACATGTCAGAAGTCCTGCAAATTCTGCTGACGATGCATTGACTAACCCAAGCGGTACATGGAGGCCATTGAAATGCCACCTCAGCATCTCTTTCAGTGCCTGCTAATTAGATTCTTAATGCAATCTTCAGACTTGATAATAAATTTTTTATACTGGTGAAGAAAAATGATTGGGAATTCCAATGGTCAGAGACTGCAAGAGATAGGGCCACATAAGAGATACATACCCTAATAGACTGTTCAGCATGGCAAATAATGACTCAGGAGTGTGCGTTGTCCGATATCCTCTTGATTTACACTACCATCTGGTACTCTATGCTAGAGTTTGTAAACCCATCCGGTCAACACAAAACTTGAAAGAAGTGGCTATGTGGAATTCAAGGTTATAAAATAACAAAAAAAGTTCTTCTTTTCTCAATTATTAAATTTGCATTCTACTTACAAGTGTCCTAATATAAATTTGTAAAATAACATTAAAACCCTAAATACAACTTAGGACCTTTCTTTTTACTGCCAAAATAAATAGAGATACAATCCGAGAATAAAAACCAAACTTCTACTATTAATTTGAGTGCAAATAATGTTCCTTTAAAAATCACAGTAAACATGGAAATACGACTAAAAAACAAAAAAACAAAAACTGGGAAGACTTACTTGATTATGCCGAAAGTCACCCTCATACGACTTAGTACATCCCACACCCGATTTCCTAACCGATGGCATACTTCAAACCTATTGGTCTTGCTGAACTTTTAGAGCTGGGAAGCATCCTTAGGCAATACCTTTTAAACTAGAGTTTTAGAGAGCATAGAAACGTAATTAGGGCATATCTCAAAAAGGCCACTCCCTTTTTCTAGGGTTAGACTACTAGTCCTCTCTCTACAAAACCCTAATTAGGGTTAGGCATGCCACCCTCTTTAATTTGTCTATGGTGGCATGCCACTAATGGTGTGAGAGAGAATAGAGATGGCCATTATAGTAATGAGAGAGAGAGAGAGAGGAGAATTAGGGCGTGGAGCGAAAAGAGAGAGAGAGGCTCCAAAATTGTGTGTAATGGGATGGGGTACAACTCCTTATATAGACCTCAAGTCTCCCCCTAGGAATGTCTATCCAATGACACAACTTGACCAATATGAAACTAGGAAATCTGTTAGGTAAGAGAGAATAAATCAGAACCATCCATCACACAAATCAACCATCATGATTTCTTTTTGAGTAAAGTTAACTTTGTATTATTGGAAGAGCATCAGGGAATAAGAGTGGGAACTGAGACCACCCACATATAGGGTCTCTCGTACAAAAAATAGGTCAGTACACAATGACCCTATACAAAAAATTGGGGCTTATAGACTCGCCCGATTACAAACAAAGTTCTGAACAAAACAAAATACAATGCACCCGCGGTGGTCCAGAGCAAAAAAGGAGATGAACCAGCGACTAAAGTTTGAACAAAACATTGACCCAGAAAGTCGCGTTTAGGTAAGTACATCTGCTTGGGCCCTAGCTCCATCCTTAACCAGATGATCTGCGAACTCGTTCGATGTCCTTCAGATATGCTTCCATGAGACGACCATATCCCCGCAGGTGTCAGCAATTTCATCAAATATTGAGGATAGGTACCAAGAAGGTGGTGAAATCCCAACGGCCCAAGAAATGATGTTTTGAGCATCCCCCTCCACAAACAACTGAGATCCCCAAGAAAAGTCGAATCTTTTAAGCCCCAAGAGCAGAACCATGGATTCAGTGAACTGAGAATCATGGCCTAAATGCTCATAATAGGTGGCCAGGACATTGCGCGATGGTCCCGGTAAACACCCCCAGCTCCTGCTGGGCCTGGGTTCCCTAGAGAGCAACCATCAAAGTTGAGCTTGATGGTGCCTTCCGATGGAGGCATCCAATTGTTGGGTCTTGATACCCTGTGTGGTTGGAGCTTAAGGATATTTTCCCATTAGCTGAGGAAAGTGCTAGCCGATATCCCGTTAAAGGCCCTATGATTAGAGGCCCAAAAGATTACTAGGGAAGTAGCCTTATGGAAGAGTGCTAGAACTTCAATCTTGAGGCCTTGGAAAATCCTGGAGTTGCTTTCTAGCCAAATAACCTAGATAGTGGCTGCGATAGCTGCCTTCCATAGGATTCTTCCAGCCTTCGGCCAATGAGAAACGAGAGACGAAGAAATGAGAGCCAGAACAGAGCGTGTAGTGACCCATGAGAGGCCAAACAGTTGGATTAAGAAACTCCACAGATCGTGGGCTAGGCTACAATGAATGAACATGTGTGGGTTCGATTCCTCCTCACACAGGCACAATACACACTAGTTAGGGATCGAGATCCCTTTTCTTTGAAACCGGTCCACTGTGAGAACTCTTTGAGAGCAAGCAATCCAATTGAATGCTTCCACTTTAGGCGGGGTGATGGTGGACCAGACCTTTGAAAGTACCGAGACGGGGTTGAGTGGGAAAATGGGTGGCTAAATAATTTTTTTGTAGAACGAGGCCACCGAAAATGAGCCTGAAGGGGAGAGGGTCCAAACCAGAGAGTCCCTCCCTGATAGAGCTATGAAGTTGGAATGAAAAGAAGCCGAGAGGGTTAAGAAAAGGTCAGTTTCCTCTTTTGTTAGATATCGTCCAAAAGAAGAACTCCAGACTCTGCGGCCCCCAAAGACGACCATTTCCTCTACGATGGTGAAGGCTTTATTGGACGCAAGAGAGTAGAAGGAGGAGATGAGGTCCCTAAGAGGAGTATGGCCTAGCCAAAGGTCTGATCAGAACCTTACTCTTGTACCTTCTCTAGGATGGAGGCGGATGAATTGCTTGAACAAAGAGAGGGAGGACATGAATGACTTCCACGCGCCTAAGGCCCTATTCGTCGATCTCCCCTCGGGCACCCAATTATCTTCCGGGACTCTATATTTGTTGCGAAGGACCTTTGCTCAAAG